TGTCGTTGAATGGGTATTTTAAAATCATTTTTGAGTTCCTTTTATCATTTTTCATTTTAAATAATAGTTTAGGATATATAACGATTTAAAGTTTTTAACAAAACAGAATGATTCTCGCTAATTTTCTTACTTATTGATTTAAGTTTTTGTTTAAAGTATAAACGATATACAAACAAAAAAAAATACGGTAAAAAATCATGAAGAACAAATATTTTTGGTAAAAAATAAAGCATATGTAGCTTTGAGCCGAGTTAGGTCTCTAGAGAGACTAATCATCAGTAGTTTAGACCACCGCAAGTTACTTAATAATCCCCACGATATTAACTCCCTCAATGAAATGATTAGATTGCGAAATTTACCATCTTATAACGAAGTGAACGAATCGTAACTAAAAAATATAAAATAAAAATAAATCATTAATAGAAAAACTATTTCAATTGTGTAGTTATTTAGTATCTGTGTTCTGTGACTGGGATTGTTTCTTTCTTTTTAGTTTTCATTCAAGTTAATTTTTTCATCCTAATTTTTAAAATTCGTTTTTAAGCTGTCGGGATTTTTGTATTTCTCTCAATTATTTATTTTTATCATAGTATAGACTATGATGCTTATTTTATTTTAAAGTTACGTAATAATTACAAAATGTAACATAATGGCTGGCAGTGTTCTTGCCGGGATGCCGCCCTGGAAATTCGTGGTAAAAGTTTTAGAGAGTTCTACAATACTCGCGCAGAGGCCAGAGCTAGAGCGGGCTCCCCTCTTTAGAAGCTCTAGTGAGGACAAGACAACAAGCGGAGGAATCGCGGTACCAGATTACGGAATCCGCACTCTGGAAGCAATCCGTCCAATCCGGTAAGCTGGTTAATTGGTAGGATACGTTGATGCATTGGTAACTGCATCAACAGTACTGGCACACTTTGGAAACCTGCAGGCAGGCCAAACTTGCACTACCCCGAGTGAACACTCGCCTCTCCAAAGCCCTCCTACAGCTAAGTAAACCATATTTGCGCCTGGTAACGGGTGCTTTTACAAATTTAAATTGTCATACAAATATTTTCATTTTATGATTAATAAAAAATATATACATTGGACAAAATTGGACATTTACTTAAATATTTTTATTATACACTTTAACTAAAATTAAAAATAAAAGTAACGTAAAAGAGATAAATCCCGTTAATAAATATCTACTTTTTACTTGTATCTATTTATTATAAATATTAAATTATATATATTATTTTGTGACTATTTTACCCACCCCTGGCGCTAAAGCTGGACCCACCCTTGCATTGTTAGGACTCGCATTTCCCATTTATCCCCACTCACTAATACTTTTTCCTTTTTTTACAAAAATAATAGTATCAATCAGTTTCTCAAACCTCTTTTGCATATAAATAATAAACATAAAACGTTCAACTAAATCCCTTTGAAACGATTAAATACTCGTTTTCCAAAGCGTAAGCATAAAAAAGGTCTTATTTAGCATAGGTACCTAAGTAATCGAAGGATCTTCAGAGCACATTATAGGTAGTTTATACAAGCAAAGTGATTTCCCAACTCGCTACGCGGATAAGCCACAGATCTCATTATACAGTTTTGTGCCGACATCGCATCCATTTCGCGAGTTATGTACAACAACTATTATAGGTAGTAAACGTGCCACAGATACTTTAACGACTTCAGAGATATTATATACTTGCTAACTTTGTCACTATAGACGCGAATTAAATTCGTTCGATATTTTTAGTTATCCTCCTTTAAATTAATTTTGGTTACACTATTTTATTCAAAAAGACATAGAAGTCTGTTTTTTTACGAGTACCTAAATGTTGAATGTGCAACACAATGCGTAGGTCGCATAGAATTTATATTGACATGAGAGCTACAAATGAAGTTAAAACCAAATTGTCAAATTATAGGAAGCTGATAAAGATATTACATTAAATATTATTATATTTTCATTTTATTTATTTATCTTGGAAAACCAACAGCTAAATAAACAAGATAGATTATGGCATAACAATTATAGGTTTCCACATATAGATATAGCTTAGATCTAATCAGTTACTTTACTTCACGCACAAACTACACTAATAAATAAATAATCGTACCTGCGCCATTAATTAACGAGACAGTATTTTATAAGTTTTCGCTTAAATAAATTAATGTTGCAATCAAAGATGTCAACATCATACCCACACTCATCTAGCATCATATTTAAGCTTACGCTGACCCTAACAGTAAAGCTGTTCTGCCTATAATTTGTAGGTGACGAGGGAACCGCTATAGGTCGGTTTTGTAGAGGTAATTGTCATATCTTTATTTCACTTCATATTTCGTGAATGCTAAGAAGATCTTGCACCAAGATTATATAACTTTATCAACCCTTGAATTAATCATATTTTCATTGAAAATAGATCTTCTGTTGAATTGTTGATTTCTAACATGACTGCCACTTAACATATAACTCGAATTATAATACATCTCCTATTCGCGATGTATTTTCCGTACGCTCCCATATTTCTCTGAATCCTCTTACCTTTCAATAATTCCGGAGATACAAGTTTTGATAGGGAACACTTATACAATTTACCTGTTATTGACGTCTTAATTATTCCTATTATAGTGAAGCTAGCTGGACCCGCGGCTTCGTCCACGTGGTTATCATCATCATATTAATGTCCACACTACTAGGGCACACGTACAGACCTTTCCAATAGATGGAATCGAATCGAATGGGCCATGACCCACGACGCAATTCCAGTGCGGACAACTAGTTAGGGTAAAATATCCAGTAGTCAACCTTTTGATGAGAATCAATATGATTCAAATATATTTATTTAAAAAGTAAAGGCTTTAAATAAAAACAGCTATTTTTATCAGAAAGTTTGTTCATTATATTTGCTAAAGAGATCAACAAAATTTTATAATTAGATTGGAATTATATAAATAATCAACACTAAACGAAATATGGCACTTTTAGCTAATACTCAGCCTTATGTGTACCACAAAGTCGACCGTGTCTTATCCTGTAGTCGGCTTCTTACCCACTTATGTACTCTTGCATATTGGACATACTAATTCCTTAATACATTTTCACTAACATCAAATTAACCAGTAAATTTTATATATTCAGATTACCTCAACTAATATTCCTTAAATTCTCATTTCATTCAACAGATTTTATTTTGTGTAATTCTTATTTATTCTTTTGTCTTTTTCTGTTCATCTACTTTCTGTATATCAAACTTCTCGACTTGATGAAACTCTATAATTCAAGATTTTCATGCATCAATAAACGTGCTGGATGTAATCCTAATTGAAGGGAACTAAGGTTTAATTGTATGCAGCAAAACTAATGGTCGATAGTTAATGTCAAAGTCCATTAGTCGGCCATCAGCATATAATCACTTACAAACACGGCCGATTACCTGGTAATATTAAATTACGAGTATTTTTGTCTCAGAATTAAATTCAATCGAAAACAAGGAATATTAACTATTTACTGTATGAATTTTAACGAAATTCTAATAAAACCAGTAGTCGGCCCATTGAATAATAATGTAATAAACAAATAAAATACCTCTAACACTTAATTAAATTACTACACAAATATTTTATAATAATATAACATAAAAATCCACCAGAGTAAACAGCAATCTCATGAAAAAAAACTTAATCATGAACACGTATCCTTGTTAAAAAAAACTAGAATGATGACGCTTTCAGTAGACTACAGTTTATAAACCGGTCATCCTATTGATACGAAGGTGTGTGTAATAACTAATAAGGGAACACTATTTAAATGACTTTGAAGCCTGGGAAGGTATTTTACCCTACTAAAGGCCGGCAGCGCGCTTGTAGCTCCTCTGGTGTAATGGTGTTGCAGGTGTCCATGGGCGGCGGTAATCACTCACCATCATGTGATCCGTCTGCTCGACTGCCCCCTATTCCATAAAAAAAAAGTGTGAATGAAGCCGGGACCGATGGGTTAATGTGACTTTCGAATACAGAGGTTCTGATTACAATCCTATGACCGGCTCTAGCGAAAGATGCGTCATCAAACAACTAGACAACTTCCACTATGCAGATCGAAGGTACTAATCACTGCGCCATCGAGCCCTTGTACTTCCACCACTATGTCCACGTGGTCATAGGGAAATAAATACCTAACTAGAAAGAGTACATAATTATTTCGCCTGGGTTCTTAATTTTAAATGAGAGCTAATTTTTAATACTGATAACGACATCTATTGAGTGTTCAGAAAAGGTAATTGTCGTTTATCTCAATGCTATCTTACGGCAATTTCTGGTACTACCGCAAAACAAAGCGGTTGCCTGCTCCGCCGTGCCTGTTATATCATAGGTACAAACAATACAATAGATATAATACACAAGTACACAGTATGCTACGTTTTACACAAGTAGGTACTCAAATTAGGTTTCACTCGCGTTAGGGTAAAAAGAGGGACTCGATGGCGCAATGGTTAAAGCATTCGGTCCGAGATACGGTTGTCGAGAATCTTTCTCAAGAACCGGCCATAAGATTGGTGACCAAGAATATACTGCATCTGGGGTCATCAACACCCACCAATCCACATTCCGCACTGGGCCCGCGCGGTGGGTCATGGTCTGTTACCCTACTCTTCCTATTCTATTTGATTCCATGTTCCCCAGCAGTGGAGTCTACTAAACTATACTAAAATTAAACAAATCTCATTTATTCCAATTACTATATTTCCCATACTTTAAAATAAACATATAATCTACATTACAGATATTTTATTCCAAATGGGCAATTTTAAAAAGCATTATGTCCATGAAGTGACATCTCTTAACTAATATTTTTGATGAACGTGATTTTCAATGCCACTCAGTCAATCACACACAATTGCACAAAAAATCTTTAAGGTTTTAATAATACACTAAGCTCTAATGAATATTTTAAATATGTATCGGTCACTGTTCTCCTTTTAAATTATGTCAATTTCAATTGAGGATTGTTCAACTAGGTTTATAGCTAATAGTGTATAATAATATTAATACAACTTTTTACTAAAAAAAACATTAAAAATATTAGTTACATGACACTTCATCAACAATAAGAAGCATCTAATACATATTGAAAGATATATTTCTTTCAGTGAATCTTTTAGTAAATTTAAAAACATTGGTATTAAAATCAAGCTTTGTATACATCAGTATGTTTATAGTTGATCTTTTTGTCTATACCCAAGAGCTGTCTAATAATGAACTCGGGTAATTTCTTGTGTCGCCACCTGGTCGGTAACGGGGTGTGGTTGGCTTTCTCTAACTTCTGCGTTACATATTGCTCTGCAGAAAATTCATTGGCTTCCTTCACCATAGCTAATAGTTCATTCTGGAAAATCTTCTCTTTGACCTGACGTCTACGCTTCTTGATCTGACAAAATGGAAAAAACAAATGTATGTAAAAAATTTACTATAAATTTCATATTATGCAACCTTACAGATAGTTAATAAATGTAATATTGAAAAAGGTAACAATGGGATGTGACCTTAGAACATAAATCATATTTTATCTTTCAACATTAACACAACATTTTGTATAATGATTACCTACCTAACTAGAATGCATGAATGATTTTTACACTGTACTTTCTTAACATATTATTGAAATCAATTATAAAATGTAAGTACCCTTGCCCAACGATGTCTCATTCTCTTCCATAGCTTCCTCCTCTGATGTTTCTTCATTTTCTTTCTCCTAATGACAATAAGCCTGGCCGCTTGTATTTCTTCTTGTTTCAGACTCGGCAAACCAATTTCATCTTTTCTCCAATTTGAATCGATCAAGGGCAAAATGGAGCGTGGATTTATTATAGGTATATACGGAATCGGATCTTGTTTTACTTTATTCGATTTCTGGTTTTCAGTAATCTCAAAAGTTATTGATCTAGGAGCAAAAGTTAGTGGCGTATATTTATTTACGACATTGGGTCTTTCGACAGGAAATCGTAGGGGCTGGCATTCTTTGGTGATATTTATAGCTGATTTGATGTTAAATGAACGCAGATCTGAAATTAAAGGGTATTAATTCTTATTTGTTTCGAAAGCAATCATAACCTCAAAGTTTTACTTACACTTTAAAGAGTTGTGGAAAGAATTCATCATTTTGATTACGAATCGTTAATACTATAACTGCTTTTACGATTCCATAGTATTAAACACACTCAGATTTTACGAGTTTTCTGCAAAATCCTCGACTACATAAGCCTTATTTTCATCATAAAGTTGTTATAATTTGATAAAAGGCAAAGGAATCACGTCATACATAGAGACAGTTTAATTTATTTTTCGATTGCGAAAATTACAATAAAATGTTCCATTGTCATTTTAATACTTTTTGACATTTTCTTAACTTCTTGTTCGCTGTTTACCTTAAAGGCTTCCCCGCGCCTGTGTGGCGGAGCCGTAAAGAAAAAAGTATGTGCACAGGAAAGAAGTTCGTTCACTGCGGATGCATTAAAAAATGAACTTCCGTAAAGTTTCGTCTGCAAAAAATACTACTTTATACATATTAACGAATCCAAACTCATTCACATTCAAATAAACTATTTTTATAAATAACACTATTTTTAATGATAACTAATCTGAAAAGCGCTAGTTAGGTTGGCCGTCATGTTATGCATATCATTGTCAGTCAGTACTGAACTGTCCGCTTTGTACAGCGAACTTGGTTCGGTAGGACATGTTTTCAGACGTGTAAACACGCCATGTCGTACCGAATACAAGCAATACCTACTATAATGTCCGGTAGATATTAAATACTTGTAATATGGAAACCCGAGACAACGAAGGCACTACAAATGTTTATTTAAAGTATTATTGAAACGGCACAAAGACCAAGATATTATTTATTGTATCACAAGTAATCTTATTATACGCTTTCTTTAACAAGTGCCATCAATCAATACTGCTCTATGATGTTCCCATAGATTTCTGGGCTACCTATCATATATGTCACACAACAACACCCAGACAATATAAAAGTTCATATTCTCGACCGGGCATCGAACCTGGGACCCCTGAAATGGCGACAGCTTGAAACCGGCGTGAACCCGCTCGGCTACGTAGGAAGGTACGTAGATAGGAGGTATCGTTGGAAAACTCTTTCACATTTTTATCACGAGCTCAGTCTATAAATGGTGCAGTTTTATTTGACATTTAACTTCTATTAATTTAATCCAAGCGCAGTCTAGCCAAAGCAACAGCATCTATTATTGCAATTATTACATAGCTCGCTATCTACCCAGTCCACCGATCGGAACTCCGATTGGTAGGAGCAGCGGGTTTTTTTTTCTTGATGCTCCGAATAATACGTTTGGTTGGAGGGACTACTTTTTCCCAGCTCTCCGATCGAATGATACAGGAATTTATATCTGTTTTCTAAATAATTTGACAGATTGTGCGCTTAAGCAATTAAGTAATTAAATGCTGTAGACATACAAGGGTGGACATAAGTATATATTTTCACGAAATCCATTGCGTAATGATAACTGTCTATTATTCCATTATATCGAGGTTAATTTCAAATAAAATAAAATAGTAAGTAGACTTTTTTACTGAATAATTTAGATTACACATGACGATATCATAACAACTCTCTGGCTAAGGGCACTGCACCTACATCACCCACGACCGCCATTGACATAAAAGGAGCTGAAAATAAGAGGTTATTCAGGTAATTGACTAAAACAAACTATTTTAATTAAACTGTGTCTTCTTTGTGAGTAATATTTTTGTGTCAACTATGTGACATCAGAGTTATTAAAATATGAATCTACTGATATTAATCTATTTTTTTTTTATTATCACAACTAATAAAGTTTATACTTTGTTAATATACCTAATATGCTAATAAAATCACACTAGGACTCTTACGTACTTTCGAACAATATTAAAACCAGGGTTGCTAATAAATATCAACGGATATATTATATATCATGATATATGTCAATTGATATAGGTATACATCGATATATATCAATTGATATTTATAATATGTATTGTTAGTTTGAGTATTCAGTCTCAGTTAGAAAATAAACCAACCCGATGTGACGCTAGCAACATTAGTCCGAAGTAGCAATCTTACTTACTAGAAATATTATTCTCCCCTGTAAGTACGTTACTGAAAATCCTCGCTCGCATACTACTTTTTTAATTATTTCATAATAAATAAACAAATATAAAAAAATCAAACTCAATTTTTATTTTACACTTTTGATTTCAAAGATCGAATATTAAATAAAGCCACTGGCATTTCAAAAATAGCCAGGTTTTCAAATGCATGGTATATATCCGATATGTATCGGATATATGTATATCAAATATCGGATATTTTGAAATTTAATATAAATATCGGATTTTTGCCTGATTAAAACCAATACTGTTTGAAATATATTATTAAAAACGTTTACCCAAACGTCTGCACACCATGACGAATTCGTAAGAAATGAAACTTTCATGGTTTGCATCATTCACTAATACATCTATGATAACATTAGCAAATACTTGCAAATAAGAAATGCCAGTGATCAAAAAAGTGTTAAAGATATTATTTTATTAATTAAAAATGTAAATGAGATATTTATATTATTATTCGATAAAGTAATTCTAGTTCACTTGCTTAATAGGTACGTTTAATGACCCCGAAAAGTAAATAAGTAGATGAAATCATATACATTTGCCTGACAGTATTCTAGCAGTAGTGACCACTTCATCGGGCGTTATGAGGTCAATCATCGCCATGGTGTGCCTGGCAGTATCGAACTGCAATCCGTTTGCTATCTGCAGAGCCAGCCCTTCTGACACTTTCACGCAATCTTCATCGTTCAGCGCCAAATTTAACTCTACGGATTACGAGATACCATAAATAACATTAAAAACTTTTTAGATTGATACATAAACGCGCGAAGTCCTTTAAAACAATAAAAAAAACCTCACATGTGAGTGCTGTTTTTGATTAATTTAGCATAAATGATAAAAGCAAACCAACCAAGTCATAACAATATTAAGTAATATATTTTAATTTTAATTTAAAACCGGTCAAGAACGGTTCGGATTCACGAGGAATTATTTTACTTAAAATCCTGTATGAAAATATGATCGCCATCCTTGGATTACCTTAATTCACCACGTTTACCATAATTTCAATCAGTTGAGAAGTTTCGGAGAAAATCGGCTGTGACTGACAGACGGATAGATAGGTAAACAGACGAATAAGGGTTTCCTTTTTTACTACGGAGCCCTAAAAATAAGTTCAACTCATACAGTAATATAATAGAAAAAACGCTGTTACTTAATCGTCGTTTGCCAGTTGCTATTTGACCAAAGTTCAAGTCACCGACGTGAGCCAAGAATTCTGCAGCATTGTGAGCCACCTGCCCCGCAGTTGACGAGCGAGTTTTCGCCAATATGCCTGTAAATAAACACTGAAATCGTGATGACTTTGATTAGGTACAGATTTCCTCGCCTTCATAATAATAGTAATTCGTGTATTCGCGTGCGTATAATGAAACGAAGCGAGATATATTATTGTTATTTTTGTATTTTAGTTCATAGAGATATTTTTTTTTTTGGCCTTAACTATGTTTTATAATGTGTGGGATGGTTCACAGGCAGTGGCGGCCGGTGCACGATCAAAATTGGATGTGGGCAGGGTATCAAAGTCAAAGTCAAAATAACCTTTATTCAAATAGACTTCTTAATGTATGTACATAATTTTGTGTTGAGAGAATAAATGATTATTATTATTATTATTAAAAGTACTTTTGAATCGTCCAACATTTTTTTCCCTACCACTCGTTCAGGACGTCTTTTGGCTGATAAGAAGAACGAGCAAGAAACTCACCAGCTCTAATAAGAGTAATGACCTTTACAAAAACCATGTCATTACCAGATCAGATCAGACCAGTATGTTTTGCGAGATCCTCCAATAGTGCAAAGAACTGCCTTTTTGAAACGTTAGGTTTTTTAATAAAATAAGTTAAATCATGATAGTTTTTGAATTTCTTTTTTTATTATTAGTTAAAAAGAGTTGTAGCTTGCACGTATGGATTTTCTTAACTTCTTTGAATAATTACGTCTTTGCACCGCAGAAAATGTGTTCTACTGCTCATGTCACATATTTGACAGGTGAGTATCCGTAGATCCGTATTGTTTTCTATGGGTTTGTAGTTTATTCGCACATGACATCTGATGACGAGACGAGCGTAACGATAGACATTCAGTAGACATGTCCGTATTTTGAGCTCAAACGTCAAGGGTTTTCGATGTCTATCCCTGATTTTCAGAATCAAGACAAATTCAACACGAAGGCGCTGCTGCGGCTGTACTAACCAAATATCCCTTGGTCGAAGTAAGATATGTTAAATGCCCTGTACTCTGTGTATATGTCGTTGCCGGCCATCGTGCCGAGGGGCGGCTGTGGAGTGCGGTCCATGCCGTGCTGGCCGCCCTGCAAGTTGCCGGTCCCACATGACGCCACAACTATGTTGTGCTTCAGCAGACATCTGCGGGAACCCAGTGACACTTATATCTATAAATACTTGTAGTAATAATCGAAACGAGTCTATTATTAAACAATTTCATAGTTTACCTATCTTACAAAGTACGGATGAAAGCGGGATAATTTTTTTTCGTTAAATTACCTTAGCGCGTTTTAATGTCATTAGCAAAAAGGGCATCGAATGAATGACCAAATATTAAGGTACTATCTCCAGCTCACCTATATAACTCCTCTATGCTCCAGTTCCTCCGTGCTTCGGAAGGAATGTTTCTGTTGGTCCCCCCCGCATCTTATAGTAGTTAATACCCGCGAATCCGAATACAACCCTAGTGCTGATCTATGTTCCATAAGTCCGTTAATAGTATATAGGTACCTAATTTTAGTCATATGAAAGTTCTGCGCCCTACCAGACACTGTTAATGGTTAGCATTCATTACCGTTTTCGGTTCTTGTTAAATAATACTTACGCTAGATCGCAGCTGCTACAGCCGGGCACAGCGAGCGCGATCCAGGTGTCGCTGCCGGCACCGAGGTCGTGATACTCGATCCCTGCCTTCGGATTCGAAGGCATCGCGCATTTGTCGTGACGTTTTTCCTTACAAATAATATTATCAATTAATTTTACACCCCAAACTACGTAAAACTACTCCAGGTACGATGGATTATATTTCATAAAAAAGAATTCTATTTTCATTGATATCTTTGCGAAATTATAGTTTCTGCAGAGAAACCATTAAAGAGTTTGGTAACAGACTACTTAGTATAAATG